GTAACAAATCACTGTACGGGTTCAGTAGATTTGACTAATCTCGTAACAACCATAAAAATTAGGAAATAAATATAAATTATGCCTCTTTTGTTCTAGAATGACTACAAATTATAAAACAAAAACAAATGTTTAGACTAAATAGCTTAAATCTCCTAACATTATACATTTATATAAATTTATTATTTTTATGATATTGACCTTTCAGCCGTGCTTGGCTAACAATACAAAAGTTATAATGATGTGGCACACGTGCACTCATGTTATAGTATCGAATAATATAAAACTAATCTTCAGTCTTTACAAAGTGACCTGTCTTGGCTGTATTTTAGTCGACTAATATTTTTGTAAAATACATCCACATTTCAATTATTATACATTATATATGCATATAGATTATTGTTATTTAGAAATAAGTTCTTAAACTTATTTTTCTTAAAACATAAAGCAATAAATTAAGAAGCAAAAAAAAATATCTCTTCTAGTTACGACCTTTGTACTTGGTTGCTGCTTGACATAGGTTGCTAAGCCTTTTAAAATTTTTCATAATAATTGAAATGTGACAGTATTTTACAAAATACTAGTCCACTAGAACACAGCCAGGACAGGTCACTTTGTAAAGGCCAGTTTTATATTATTGGATATGGTAACATGAGTGCACCATGTCATTCAATTTCTGTAACATTAGTAACACACTGTTGAAAGATCAATAAATAAAAATAATAGATTTTTTATATATGTAAAGTGTTGGAGATTTTAGCTCTTTAGACTAAACATTTGTGGTTTTGAGTTATAATGTGTAGTAACTCTAGAACGAAAATAGCATAATTTATATATATATTTTTTTATGGTGGTTACGAGGTTGGTAGAATCGAACAAACCCATACAAAGATACAATGGTTAAAACAACAGATAAAATATAAAGTTTTTTTTCCAAAAAACGTTTGATAATTATCTAGTGGATATTAAAAGGTTATGGAGATTTTGCGTGCAAGATTTGACAAATTTCTGATGTATAAAAGTATTAATCTGAAAATCAAAATTACTTCGCATGTTGGATAAACAATATTAGAAAATTAAAACCATTTTGTTCTTTTTATAGTTTTCATATTACTTTTAATACAGTATGCATATCTGAACAAAATTTTGCAGATTATCAATAAACATTACAAGGTTTTTCTACACAAAATATCACATTTTTCAAATAAGAAAAAAAAGCATATGAAAAACAAACCTTAAGATTTAATAAAAAAAATTTAATATTTTGCATATGAATGCAATGTAATGTATATTGATAATCTGCCAAATTTCGTTACCATATGCTTACTAATTTAAAAGTTATATCATGAAAACTATAAGAAGCACAAAATGGTTAAGAGGTCAATTCCAGGGACCAAGCACATGCTGATAGAGTTAATGGATTAGTTTATGGGAAACTAATCAATGTAGTTGCTGCTAATTTGCAATTGATTAAATCACCCAGCTCCAGTAACTATACTGAGACTTTGACCTAGCTAACAATGTAAAGATTATACAACCTGATTCTCAGAATCACGTCTATCAGGTGTGTGTGTGTGTGTGTGTGTGTGTGTGTGTGTGTGTGTGTGTGTGTGTGTGTAGCTATACTAAGAAGCTTGACCTAACTGATATAAAAATTAAACAACTTGATTGTCTGATCTTTCTAGTTCAAGACCTTGAGTAGTAATTAGTAGTAAAACTAAAACAATGAAAACACCCTCAAGTATGTTTCACAAGAGAATGACCTTGTAATATATTAGATGTGTTTTACAAATCATTCTGAAAACTAAATTTATTATGAACTGAATTCTTGAAAATGTTTACATTTTAGCCAAATAATACTCATTATAGATACAATATAGATAGAAACACTTCTGTAACAATGATATTTATATGCCATTTTTGACAGTATTATAAATATGACCATCAGATATTTTTCTAAGCTGTTTAGTTTGTGAATTCTGTTTAAATACTTTGTGATGAGTTAAATAGTTTAGTTTATTAAAGTTTTTGTTCTTAAATATTTAATATTTTTCCAACTTTCACAAATGATTAATCCTTACTTTTTAAATAAGATAAAGCTTTAAGGAACACAAAATGACTTCAAACACACACACATACATCCTACTTTTACAAACAACAACTTCAGTAACACACAGTCTAATTCTTTTCACATCGCTTCTATAATATTTTACAAAAATATCAGTATTTTAGTAAGAATAATGAAGCTGTACTTGCAAAGATAATGAACCTACAACTAAATTCGTCTTTAGAAGTCTTAAATTTATCATAAAAGTACTTTTTCCAAAAGATCCTATTTCTCTGAACTAGATGTTAATTTTTGTGGTTAATATCAATATTAAATTTAGTATAACTTTAATATGTAAAAAATTCTCAAATTAAATGACTTTAGCTCTTTGTTTTATACCAAGAAAAAAATTTTATCTAAATTTTAATAGAAAATTTAGGCAACTGAAGATTGTCTTTCTTTTCTATTAAACTTAAACATAACTTACTGTGTTAAATCAGGAACATCATTTTCTGCTGGGTTACAGGAACTTTCTTTTTTCTTTGCCTTCTCAATCAATTTCTTCTTGTGCCTGTTAAAAAATGTCTTAATGTCTCACACTAAAATTCCAAATGCTTACAACCAACACAAATCTGAACAAAATATACACACTAAGTATACATCTTTATGCTTTATCCATATCACCACTGGTATCCTTTACTGTGCATGACACAAGGTTTTAGTGTCTTACATTCAAAATTTTATTAAACTTCTTTTTGTTTGTATTATAACAATTAATACAGCATAAAATCTTAGATAATAATCCATATTTTAACATTATACAAGTTTTAAGTTCTTAATTCTATCAGGCAACATTTAAAAAAAATCCTGAATTTCCCCTAGCGTGACATTTTCTCTAGGCATGTTCTCTTCTCTATTTTATCCATCACCACTAGAAACATTAAGAAATTGAATGTAAATTACTCACTATAAAATCGTTTTTGCTCAGACAAATCATAATTTTTATAGCTTTCAATTTTATTTGGTTACAGAGCTATCAAATTGAAAATCAGACCCCTCCTGCCACATCCCCTCTTTCAGGATTTGTTAATAGTTATTTATTACATTTAATTA